ACCAAATGGCTCCTTATATAGTGGTAACATTAGGGTTACACCATGTAACTCATGACTTTCCACATTCTTCATGATCCATGGGTTTTAACCTCCATGGAGCATTCATGGGTCACTACATGGGTTAAGCCCAACATAAGGAATCATGGATCATTAGCCCACATTATAAGAATGAACGATTTACACAATCAATCCTTATATATTTAATTAGTCTCTTTTGACCACAAAATTAATTCCAAATTAATTATTGATCAGTACCAGTTAAATAATATGATTTCATATTAATATATTATAACTTATAATATACTAATAAATCATACATATCATCTTCTCAAGGTCCAAAATTGTTTCAGTGAAGTGCAACCTAAATGTACCATGCTCAACTGGGTCAAGTACACACCAAATATAGTTATGGACTAAGACACCTTATCCAACATCTTGGAACCGATTGTGGCGATGAGATGGCTATCTGACGTGGAGGGTTGTTTCTACACATGTTCTTGTTTAGATGACCAGAAGTTCAAGTGCGCCCTGAACCTTCTTAGGTTGGGGTCAAAGGATTGGTGAAAACTGATGACTAGTTCTTTTACACCTGAGCAGAGGGTTGTGATGACTTGGGAATAGTTCTCGAAGATCTTCCGTTCAATGTGTGTTCCCCTGGTAAAGAGGGAGAGACTGACCCTAGAGTACCTGGATCTGAGACAGACAACTGAGTTGGTGACGGAGATCACCAAGATGTTCATTAAGAGGGCCTTGTTCAGTCATGAGTTTTCTACTTCAGAGCAGGCTCAGATGACTCGGTATTTAAGCATGCTCTAGAAAGATATTCAACAGTTTGTGTCCATCCAACACTATGGTTCTCTCACGGAGCTTCAAGATGTCGTGAGGAGGCGAGAGATTAAGATAGAGACCCAGGTGGGGGAGTAGTGTCAAGCTTCGGATCAGTCCCAGCTTGTAGTAATGCAGTTCAAGTCCACCAGCCAGAGTTCGAGATCAATTAGAGGGAGGCGTAAACCTATTCATGTCACCGGTGTGGCGAGGAGGGTCATTTTGGAAGTGATTGCAGGTAGAGTGTGCGAGTTTGTTTTCATTGCGGTCAGGAAGGCCACATTAGGGATTATTTTCCTTTTCTTAATGAGGTGTTGGATCCTACACCCTTAGCTTGGCAATTACCCAATGGTTGAGAGGGAACCGCCGAGGTCCCGAGGACCGAGATTTGAGTTGGCAATTCTCTTATTTAGCAATTGTGATAGTATTAGTATCTATCTATCATTTATGTTGTGTTTCAAGGTTCAGTTGAAATTTTGGATGATGAATTAAATGTAATTATCTTATATAGCTTGTTCCAGTTGATCTCTTGTTATGTATGGATTAATTATCTTTTTCCTCGATTGTATGCGAGTTGAAATGTGCGAATGTTGTGTGAATAAGATTCTTCTGTGTATGTGAATATTAGTGGTTGAGATCAAGTAGTAGAGTTCGAGTTAGTTAGGTATCGAAGGATTATGAAGTTCTCAGTCTCTAGTATATTTCAAGTGGGGGAGAATGGAACCTCGCAGTGGGAAGACTTATAGCCAAGATTCGGTTCTCTTTTGGATTTCTCTAAGTTCCAGATTTCTGCGCAACTGTTAACTCTTCTGGTTTTGCGGTAAGATCATCATAAACTGTTGGACTTTCCATTCGATTCGCGTTAGTATTGGTTGTGATGGCATCTTTAGGGTGCTTGTGCTTTGATCCTAAGATGTTAGTAGCTCAAGTTGAGTGGTTGCTTGTTTTTTATCGTTTGATTGGGGGTGAACCCCAGTGTTAATAGTGGGTAGCTCAGTTGGGCAGTCAGAGAAAAGTAAGAGT